CCCTGGTTCAGCGCTTAAGCGATGCCCGGAACGAGAACTTACCCTTAAAAGTCATGGACGCATGTTTGGTAGTTTAGTATTGGTATAATTCATCACAGTTTCTTATCATGTAGCATCACTATTATTGCGAATGTGTACTGCATGTAACTGGCAACAATGATAGAGACCTCGTGAATCTCTGGCTAGTCTTGGTTATTCACTCGTCCTCGCTTCTCTTACACGACAACGTTCGACCTTATACGGCACAACAGCGGCCCTTAAACACAAGATCTAAGTTGGAAGTTTTACTTTATCCACCGCGATTACCAGATCTTGTGCCAAGAGTCTTCTACTTTTTCTCAAGTTTCGACAAGTTCTAGACACCAAAAAAGTCAGAACTCCTGAGGCAGTTCAAAATGCCTTAAACTTGTTGTACTGGTGGTTGGACCTCTTGTGAGTCCGCGCGAGTAGGTACCACCACCCTGCCTATTTCAGCCGTGAAGCAGTAATGCGTTTCTGTTTGAAAGGTGGGGCAGCCGTTGTAACTATACTGAGACCTTAGAACTTATCTCAAGGTGGGTGGCGCATTTACGTTGTAGATGTCTATGGGCTCCAGTAACCACTTAACACCAGGTGGGCTGTGAGCTCGTCCACCCATCTAAGCAATAAATAAAAATAAAATAAAAAATTTTGTTGGCTACCGTACACCTGATTTCTTCTAAACGGGCATTGAAAAATTACCACTGCGCTGGCAAAGATGCATCAATACCGTGAGTACATGTTTAGATAGGTATAAAGAAATACGGCAATTTCGTAGGTAAAGTCCTAATGACTTTAAATAGAATCGCATATCTCTATAAACAATCCCATGTTATACGCTAAAGAACTTATCTGTTTTTTACCGTTAGATAATGTATTCAGTATATTTCATAGAATAGTAGTGAAATCCGGTTACGCTCCCCTATGACTATCACTGAATGTATTAAGAGTAGAGAAGATCCCTATACCTATAGCCAAATATATAAAAACACCCATTCGTTAAATCATCGTACGTTGATGCTACAATGATAATGAACGCCCCCCTTTCGTAACAAAATAATGAAAAAAGTGGCATCAATTGCGCAACGTTAAACCCATAGGAGTTATAACATCAATGTAAGTCAGAAATATTAACTTTGCTTAGATTTAATAAACGTATAATAATATCGTTTTTTGTATCTCGATCCCTTCTCCGAAGCATCTTTGTCAGACGATTTTTATGTGTAGCGAAAAAGCTGCAGTGCTAAGTAGGTATTATGTTCCGTGAGATTACTCATCAGTGAGTCGGCCAAGTTGCTGCGTCTCGCTTGAAGTAACCTGCCGTTTTTACATTTCCCCTTCCAAAAACTTCCGTTGTGTTGTGGCAACAAAGTAAAAATGTAATGCTGGTTATGATTCTAGACGGCGCGACGATTGTTGTTATCTGATGATAATGTATGCAAATTGTATGCTTAATTAAAACTACTTTTAAGGTTTCAGTCTCGCGTTTATTATTTTCAAGTTTTTATTTCCGACGTTGCAAATATTTTACATGTTTCGTTGTCACGACTATGGTGTTATTCGTCGACTTTTGTTTAATCTATACTTCTATACTAATATGATAAAGAGGAAAGGTTTGTTTGTTTGTTTGTATTGAATAGGCTCTGAAACTACTGAACCGATTTGAATTCTTTCACTGTTTGGAAGCTACACTGTTCCCGAGTGACTATAATCTTTCTTGAAAAAAATTAGGGATCCTTACTAAAACTCCAATAATGTAACCCAAGGGGTAAAAAAAATACCTATTTAATATGTTCTTTACATCGCGTGCCCTGCGAAAACAAATGATGATAGAATAAAATAATGTACTATGACTTTGGTGAACACATTATTATTTACAAAAAGTGTCGCGACAGCATATGTCTAACCATTATAGTTATGCCGCAATAAGCGTTCTATTATTTTAAAAAATAAAACAACTATCGTTGAAATTTTTGTTAAAGACCCGAGCGGAGTCGGAGCGGGCCGCGAGTTCTCTATAAAATTATAAATTAACATTTACTTTTCATTAGTTGTAGAAAACATAGTATCTTGAGTTCTGGTACTTTGTTAGACCTTAGTTTTTACCTTATGATAAAATGATCCACAAAGTACCAGGATCCACAAGCTACCAGGACTTAGATAAGCGCCAATCATTTTCTCTAATAAAATATTATTATTGCTTAGGATATTGTTTTGTATAAATGGACTGAAAATAAAATAATTAAAATAATAAACTCGAGATTAGAAATTATGTTAACGGCTCGCGAAAAGCGAAGAAAATTTTATACTTCCTAACGTATTGTTTAAAGTAAATCAGATTTCAGTAAGCTATTGTATCTTAATATAGATTAACATACTTTAACACTTCTGCTTAGTGTACCTATGTTATGATTAGCTAAAGTTCTAATTGCTTTGTTGTTGCTGTCAATTTGCAAAACTTTAATATACGAAAAGTAACATGATTAAAATGTTATGAGTAATTTTTGTCTGCAATAATAACACGTATCGTATTACTGACAATTTACAATCATCTAATCAGATTTAAGTGTAAAGTATGCCAGTACTTTAGCGTGCGACTGAAAATTTACATACAATAGTTGCATGTAAAGATCGCACGTGCTCTTGATTAAAACAATGATCATTGTTACATCAACATTACTCAGAAACATTCACTTAGCACAGAGATCGTTTTAACACATGAGTGGTGTTTACGAATTATTTCTTTGTGTTATATTATTTACCGCGTTTTTATTAGTGATCGCGGTAGAACTGCATCATAATGATATTTTGATTATTTTGTCATTTTGTTATTTGCATCATATTGATATTCGTGGTGCTACACCATGTTTGTTATTGCGGCTTATGCATTTAGTATTCTCGTTTTAGTAGTTAAATGATTTTGAAAAAGTTTTATTGGAGCCCATCTACAACGTAAATGCACCACACCCACCTTGAGATATAAGTTCTAAGGTCTCAAATATAGTTACATACATTACAATTGGCGTTGATTCAGAGAATGAGACATTTTTCGTGGTAAATGCTCGGTCCTCTGATCGGTTTTACGGTTAGTTTATTGTACTACGGAACATGTTCGATGATAGTAATATTAAAACTGTATTATTGTGTAACATTTATTGCGTTATCGTTATGCTTTTAAACCGTTGCATTGTCTTCACGAAGAGTGATTTAATTTGTTTTGTAATATAGCGAGTGGGCCAAAGTTATCAGTGAGTTGTTCTTCTTTTTTTCCTACCTATGCTGATAGCCTTGAGAGGCTATATCAGCTTCTCCTTAACGTGTAGGTGAGCTCATGGGGCTCAAACCAGAAGTGTTGCTAACACTGGCCCTAGCAAGAGTAGTACTTCGCAGAATCTACCACCGGATCGGAAATGCGACCCACTGAGAAGATCCGGTGAGAAACTCAGTGGGCTGTGTCTATGGATTCATTCGTTTGTCGAGCCCTTCATCGCAAGCGACGGGTTCGACGAGGACGGTGACCGGTGCTTGTGGTACCTAAAAGCACCGTTAATGGATCGGGAGAGCTCTTCAGATGTGTTCGTTGTCTACAATTGTGTCACGCGTTTTAACTGAATACATAATTACCAAAAATACCTCTAATTTGTTAATAGTCGAGGAGTAATAATTATTTCAAATATACATTTGAAGTCACTTAAAGTTTAACAGCAATGTACCGAAAATTAACCCTTGTGTAATTAGTGAAGTGCCTAACGAACGTTTAGGAAAGGTTTCATTATGTTCTCGAACCCTTTTCGTTTGGCCCGTTCGTATTCACTCCATTGAATCACTAATCGTGTCTTCGTGAATGGATATTGGATACCGGTGTGTAGCGTGTTGACTTTTTGTGCTCCCCCGTGTCTACTAATTACTTTATCTAGCTGAACGACCAATGATCGGTTAATTACGAGGACGCGCGTTCGTCGATCAATTAATTGAAATATGACTTACTGGCTAGCACTGTTGCCAATCCTACATTTTTAATTGTAGATCTACAGTTTTTCGGAAATTCTCTTAGTTTTCAGTTTAGACCTCGAAATCTACAGTTTTTATGTAAGATGCTAGCGTCATTTATTTTATTAGAGAACGATACTAAGAAATTAACTTTCTACGACCACAATTAAAGATACCTTGCACACAAAGTCAGAAATCAAAAATTGTTTCGAGTTCAATGTGACAAATGACCATTCCAAAAAATTCAATAAAAATATGTACGATTTCAACAAAAGTAAAGATGAAAATCAAGAAGACTTACAGATTGAAGATGAAATAGTAGCTAGTAATACTATCTAACATGCAGGCACTGGAATAATTGCAACTTTAAAACTTTTGATTTTGACATTTAATTAGATTAAAACTTTGATAATTACACGATTTTTCTTGTTTCTAATGTCCTCCCTGTTCTGTTTTTTAATTTGATATTTTACATTTAATTTTCTACAGTTTTTTTGAAGCATGTCTAAAGTTTTGCTCTATGCTGGGGTTGCCAACCCCTGCTGGTTAGTATGAGTAAGATACGTAGTGATGTTCATTGATCACTCAATTTTGTAGTATACGAAAAAATGTTGTACGACGAAAGATATGAGAGATCATTATTCAATGCACGTAAATGTTGCAACAATGTCTGATGTCTGTGTCTGTGTGGTGTTTTCATTGCACAGTTTAGTCTGCCACTCAAAATGACGGTATTATATTTGAAACAACAACCTCGGCGAAAACGAATTAGTGCATTCAGTATGCAAATGTTTTGCAATGCTAGAGCGATTTGGGAGATAACAAAATGACAAACCATAACAAAATGGAATGATGTTATTAGAATCTAAAAACGTATCTCCGATAAAATCTCGTTGTACTGTTAAATTAAAAAAATCGTCTTTAGTATAACTTTATTATAAATGTAATTTTTAATATAATTGCGGAATTTTAAGTTTGCTTTTTGTTCACAGATGCAAAACATTAACAACATAGTAATGTTTCCGGTCGATAGCCTTCTAAAAGGAGACCTGCGTGGTGTCAAAGGTGATCTAAAAAGGCCTTTCGACAAAGCTTCCAAAGATTACGAGTCTAAATATTTGAAAATCGAGAAAGAGAAAAAATCGCAAGCAAAAGAGGCTGGCCTCATACGTAGCGAAGTTACGTCCGCTGAAATAGCCGATGAAATGGAAAAAGAAAGGAGACTTTTTCAACTACAGATGTGCGAGGTAAATTTACAATCGATATTTTCAAAAACCAAAAAATAATAATATTGCGTAGGAATATTACAAACTAGCGACCCGCCCTCGCTTCGCTTCGGAAACCGTAATTTATTATTGATTTCTCCACTATTTAATGGATGTTATTATACATATAAACCTTCCTCTTTAATCACTCATATCTATTAAAAAAAAAATGTGTGCGTGTACTAGTGTACACACGTAAGAAGTGAAACTTCTTTATGGCCTTATTTTTCGAAAAATGATCTACATGCAACTTTCTAGAAATTGGTTAAATAAAGTTAAATTAGATAAAGTTTAAACAAAAGGATTTTATTATCATAGACATGAATACAAAAAAGTTAAATTAGATAAAGTTTAAACAAAAGGATTTTATTATCATAGACATGAATACAAAAAAGTTAAATTAGATAAAGTTTAAACAAAAGGATTTTATTATCATAGACATGAATACAAAACAGATGGCGCGTAACGGAAAAATGTGACGCGTAACCGAAAAATGTGACGGTAAATTTTTTTCCAACGCCGATAAAGAAGTTTCACTTCAAAAAGATGGCGCGTAACGGAAAAATGTGACGCGTAACCGAAAAATGTGACGGTAAATTTTTTTCCAACGCCGATAAAGAAGTTTCACTTCAAAAACCGCATCAAAATCCGTTGCGTAGTTTTAAAGATTTAACCATACATATGGACAGAGAAAGCGACTATGTTTTATACTATGTAGTGATGACGGCAGGAGAAAATGTTGTAAATGATTTATACTTATTTACTACTTTTACTGGCTGCAGGGTCCACAGGGCTGGATGTCAGTATGCTGCCTATTTCATGCCGTTCGATTTGAAGTTGGGACAGCTTACGCCCCTCCATTGAAACTTTTACCTCTTGTTTTAACTGGGGTGACATTCGCGATTATACGAGCTTCGTTGGTCACGACGGCTTAAACGAACTGAATCGTGAGCTCGTTCAACCATTTACGCAATAAGTAAATAAAAAATAAACCTACGACCTCGCGTATTAAGATCGGTGATGATATTCACTTGGGCCAAGAGTTCATCTGCCCGGCTTGGCAATGAAAAACGTAATGAAACTATTTACATACTATATTTACTGAGTTACTTTTACTGGTGGTAGAACCTCTTGTGAGTCCGCACGGCCAGGTACCACCACCCCGCCTATTTCTGCCGTGAAGTAGTAATGCGTTTCGGTTTGAAGGGTGGGGCAGCCGTTGTAACTATACTGAGACCTTAGAACTTATATCTCAAGGTGTGTGGCGCATTTACGTCGTAGATGTCTATGGGCTCCAGTAACTACTTAACTCCAGGTGGGCTGTGAGCTCGTCCACACATCTAAGCAGTAAAAAATAAATAAATAAAATTATAAAATATTATGAGTACTCACTTGAATCCTTGAGATAACAATGTGCAACGGAATGTATCTATCGCATCGTAAGCACCATTTACGACTCGTTCTAAGAAACAAACATATTTAAAGTATTCAACACCGATGCGTGTTTTTCTAAATAAATATAGTACGTTTGTTTACGTGTTTAAAGTTAAACGACTGCCGTTCACCCTCAATGTGGCAGTTTTATTACTTTTTACTAACATCACGGTACTCAAATACCTACTGGTAACGTTTTTATTTCAATTCAATATGTTTTGTTTAAGCATCTGACGAAATACATCATTATTAATGTGCTACAATAAAATTTAGAAAGGAAATAATAATTTAATTTACAATAATATTATCTTATACCTTTAAACGAGCAATTATTGTATATTAATATATCTCGGAAACAGCTCCAACGATTTTCATAAAATTTAGTGTACAGGGGATTTCGGGGGCGATAAATCAATCTAGCTACGATTTATTTTCAGAGAATGTTGTTATATTCGTGTTTTCAATAATCAATGCTTCCCGACATCTATTTGCGAATAATAATACTATTTTTCTTAATTGAGGGCAACTAACCGCTTTAAAGACACAACAAGAAGGCGTTATAAAAAAAAACCGAACAAAGCTCGGCCATCATCTAGTTATGTATAATATGTCTACTAATGTGCTTTAAAAATTAATACAGAATAAGGACATTTTTAACGCGACGGTGTCTGTTGCCCATGTAGGCAGACGAGCATACGGCCCACCTGATGGTGAGTGGTTACCGTCGCCCATGGACTTCAGCATTGCCAGGGGCAGAGCCAAGCCGCTGCCTACCGCTTAATACTCCCCATAAGCCTCGTTTGAAGAAGGACATGTCATAGCGCTCGGAAAACACCATGGAGGGGAGCTCGGGAGCTCATTCCATAGCCGGATGGTACGTGGCAAAAAAGATCTCTGGAAACGCACTGTGGATGACCGCAGTGGCTCCAGGTAGTATGGATGAACTCTACTCCGGTGGCGGGCGGGGCGATGGTAAAAACGAGATGCCGGTATCATCTCGAACAATTCCTCAGAGCATTCCCCATGGAACAAAATACAGAGGGAACCGAAGTCCCTCCGCAGACCCAGAGGTTCCAAACGATCCGTGAGAATGGGATTATCGACAATCCGAACGGCCCTCCTCTCTATGGAGTTAACTGGAAGAAGCTGGTATTTGGGAGCCCCGGCCCAGAGATGGGAGCAGTACTCCACGCGAGTCCGTACTTGTGCTTTATAAAGCAAAAGTATTTGTCCAGGCGTGAAGTACCGCTTCGCTCTGTTGAGGACTCCCAGCATTTTGGACGCCAACTTGGCTTTGCCTTCCAAATGACTCCGAAACTGGACATCGCTCGAAATGTCGACCCCGAGTATCCCGATACTCTCGGAAGATTGCAGGGATACTCCTTGGAATTGCGGCGCCATGACAAAGGGGTCCTTCTTCGCAGTGAACGCGCAAACTTGTGTCTTTATATCGACCGATCGTTTGTAGAAGTTTTCGACTCAAAAGGCTTTTGGTGTTCACGCGTTCACTATTAAACCTTGTATGCAAAGATCTGAGGAAAACTTTACCGTTGTAATACCGATGCCTCTTATGGAATTGTTTAAAGAAGTAGTAGGTATAGTTGTATTCATCTATTGATGTTGCAAAAACGATGTATGTATAGTTATATTTGACACAAAAAAAAAAAAAAAAATTGACATGAAGTTCGTATATTTTGACAGTACGATGAAAAGTTCGTTATGTGCGTTCGAATAATCAATTTTTACAACAGCTAGTAACGTTGCTTAGTGCACCAAGGGACACGATAGCACCGTGACCAATTTATAACATATGCATGTGCTGTTGGTATGAGGTCTTCTAATTTTAACCGTTTATCATAGATTCAATACTTCTCAATATCACTACGCACATGGCCGCTGTTTCGGAATCGTTGGTTCGGATTTTTATCAACGGGTGCGGTGAGGACTGACGTTCAAAGCTTGTACTTTCTGCATTAGCATCTCGATACAGTTCAGAAAGCGCCTGTGTGATAAGGGTTTAATGGAAAACCGTAACGTATTAAAAATAAAAATAAAAAAGCCGGTTAGAGCTAGTCGCTAATAACCAACTAAGAACTAGGTACAACAGGTAACAACTAAGAACCTATTATACTGAGCTAAATTCATACAATATTGCAACATGCCAATTGATTACCACTGATTGTGTTTAAAACGTTTCAAATATTTGTTAGTAAGTTGTAAATAACATAATGCCGGTCAGTATCTAGGTTAAATTACGATTACAACTTTGAATTATGATGAGCTGTGATAGTTGGCCATTCGTTAGAAGCGATGCGATTATGACGACTTTCAACAAATTACGACATATATTTCTATACAGACACATACCCGACTTGTGTGCATAAGAACTATTTGCACGTTGAAGGCATTACATATTATGTCATTGAATAAAATAAAGCGAGTAAAATTTTTAATTTCGTTAATTATTCGTAGTAATGGTAGAGCGTGTTGCAGGCCCGCATACGTTAGTAATGTCATCATTATGTCTGCTTCTGTTGCCAAGCAAATGTGTATTTTGGTAATGGGACACTCGTTCTAAAATACAATTAAAACTTAAATATCTTGGTTCAAAGTGGGCGGAGGCATTCACACTATATCTGAGGGCTTTGGTAACCACAATACATAATATCGGCTTGAGCTGCGATACGTAAATATAACATTTCTTTGACGTAAATATAACATTTGATAGAGGAGCGTTCGTGTAATGAAGAATAATTAGTGTGCTGTTGTGTTGGCTAAATGAACTTAATCTAAAAACTAATTTAGTTACACAATTCAATCAGGTTTATTTGATTACTTTTAATGAAATAAACTTGATGTCATTTTTTTATTTTCTTTTTTTTTATTGCTTAGTTGGGTGGATGAGCTCACAGCCCACCTGGTGTTAAGTGGTTACTGGAGCTCATAAACATCTACAACGTAAATGCGCCACCCACCTTGAGATATAAGTTCTAAGGTCTCAGTATAGTTACAACGGGTGCCCCACCCTTCAAACCGAAACTGATTCAAACGTTTTAATTGAAGTAACCCGCACGGGTTGGTACCACTTCGCTGCATATTTCTGCCGTTAGACTCCGCGTATGAACCTGAGACGCTCTTCCCTGGAACATTTTTCATAGGTTTCTTGTATGTATTCACTGGTTTCTTTTACTGGTGTTAGGACGTCTCGTGAGTCAGCACGGGTAGGTACACGGAATAGATAAATAAGGTATTATTATTTATCTGTTTATCTATTCCGTGGATAGGTACCACCGCCCTGCCTATGTCTGCCGTGACGCAGTAATGCGTTTCGGTTTGAAGGGTGGGGCAGCCGTCGTGACTATATTGAGACCTTAGAACCAATATCTCAAGGTGGGTGGCGGCATTTACGCTGTAGATGTCTATGGTTTCCGGTAACCACTTAACACCATATGGGCCGTGAGTTCATACACCCGACTAAGCTTTAAAAAAAACGAATTTACACTCTTAAAGGAAGTAGCGCAGCTATGCTTCTATATAGTCTTATTGCT